ATATATATTTCTTTCCTTCTTACTCCCTGGCTGGCTGTGTGGCATCCTCCTTTCCTTCTCCTTTTCTCACTACTTGTTCTCCTCCCTAGATTTCTCCTTCTATTTATTCTTTCTGCATGCCAGCTCCACCTATCCTCTCTCCGGCCTAGCTATTGACCATTCAGCTCTTTCTTAGACCAATCAGGTGTTTTAGGCAAGCAAAGTAACGCAGTTTAACAGAGTTAAACAAATGCAACATAAAGACCGCAACACCTCTTTGCATCATTAAAAAGCATAAAAGAATGTAACACATCTTACACTAATATTCCACAGCATCATCAACCTTTTTGTCACACAGGAGATGATATAATCGTCCCTTGTAACCCATTCTAGTTTGGACTGCAGCATGGAAACATAAAATAACCAATCCTTCAAAAATCAGGAACTCTGGCACTTATATACACAACTGTTGGGCCATCAAATGAAACTAGCGAATGGGGATTTAAGTTCAACTGGCGGAGTGCTCATGTGATTACACACCTGTACTCCCAGCACTGGGAAGACAGAGGCAGAAGCCATCTCATCTACATAGTGTATTATAGGCCAGTCTGGATACCCAAGACCCTTTCTCAAAATAAATAGATAGAGATTGATGGTTGGATAGAGAGGTTAGGTAGGTAGGTAGGTAGGTAGATAGACAGATAGATAGATAGATACATACATACATACATACATACATACACAGATACATAGTTAGGTACATGCATACATACACACATACACGGACAGACAGGTACATACATACATACACACACAGATAGATAGATAGATAGATAGATAGATAGATAGATAGATAGATAGATAGATAGATAGACCGACCAATAAACTCAAGTGAAAACAAGGTTATTCTAATAGGCTGCTTAAAAGCAGCATTTAAACATTAAATGGATCAGCAGTAAGGTTCATTCATTCTTCATTTACTGGGTAGGAACAAGAGCTGGTTTGTTTATTGTGATTTTTGCAGCAAAAGTATGTAGTAGAAATTAATATTCAAAGAATGATTAAATGCATATTGTTAATTCAACAGAAGCCCCAGGTCAGCCCATTTTGAAGGTCACTAGGGTACTATGAAGTAATTCATAGTCTGGCCTGACTGAAGCCCTTTTACCCCCCTCTCATAACAAACTTGATGCATGTATTGACTACTGCCCATACTCAGGCCTTTGTTTCTTTAATTAAAAAGAATTTTCCTTCTTGGCAAACATAAGAGACAGAATTATTAGGTGATAGCTGGGTAGGGCAAATTATCTATGGATGCCATCAAAGTCTCTTCCAGGGGAGCCTCAGAATTTTACTATGACTGGCCTTTTCAAGCTGGGTCCCCCACACTCATGAGCTACTGAAGGAATTATAAGTAACGTAATACACATAGATAACCTGACGTTCCATAAGACACAGAGTGGGCCAAAGTCTGACAAGAGCCTTTACGACCATATTGCTGCTGTCTGTCTCTTGTGACATCTCCTCACCTTGCCTAGGGAGGTTAAAAACCTAGATATGACTGGAAGTGTAGCAAACTCCTGTACTGTGGTATTGAAGCAAGAGCCTCAATTATAAGCCAAAATGAAAGGTATTAGCGAGAGATTTAACACCTACAGTCACACTTGGAGTTACAAGGTGTTAATGAGCAAGACGTTGGAAGGCATGCATTTTTCTCACTTGGCTGTCTGGTTTTACTGTTGGCACAGAGACTTCGAAACCTCCAGTTGTGAAAGCACGAATCAGGAGTCTTTCCCGTGTTATGAATGATACCCTCGCTAAGATGAGGGGCTTGCAGGGGAATGCAGGGACAGTGAGGGTCACTGTTTGTAGCAAGCAGGATCCGGAATTTACGGCAGAGGCAGATGTGTGAACTGACCAAAATGGAGAACGAAGAGAAGTAACTAAATTATGTATGACAGCCTTGACGCGGCCGAGGAAGGAAGAAAGCTTAATGATGCTGTGGTTGAAGGACCAGCAGCAACTGGTGATGTATTAGCTGTACGTCGGTAAGAAGAGGGATGAACCCACCAAGACCCAAGGACTATAGATGAGGGTGACGAAGACCAAGCCGTGGGTGGGGGAGAGAAACCACTTGCTCAGGACATAATGAATTTTAGTGGCAACATGAGAGTCAACTAAAGTTAACGTGACATGAAAAATCATCGCTTTAATCCATGTGGCTCTTTCAAGCCTGTGTTTTATCAAGGCAAAAAAAAAATCTATAGTTAACAATGAAATATTTTTCCCCTCTTTGCTTTCCTGGCTTCCGTCAAGAGCAGTACATAATTTAATTATGGAATCTACAGGCTGGACCATGGAAATGAAGAATGATGTGTCTGGGCTAGTGAGAAATTAGGTAGCCCCAACTGTTTGTTCTCATCATTCTTTCTCTGTGAGGCTAAATTAATAGTTAACAAGCTTTTGTTTGGATTAGCAGTTGAGAAGTGCAGATCAGAATTACTATAAGTACAGAAAAGTGAATAAAAGACCCAACGATTCTAGATGCCCCGGACCTGAAAGGGGCGAAGAATGAAGGGACTTGGTTTGGGTGTCTATAATAAACCCTAAGGTTGGGTCCTCCTAGCTAGCGGTGGTTTGTCAGTTTCATACAAGGAGGGTGTAGGCGTGCAGCCGTGTCCTGAGGCCTCATACTTGTAGTAATTCATGATTACTACAGTAGCTTTTATTTATGGAGAGATTAGGATGGAGTGTGGGTAGTAGCCGGTAAGATCCATGGGTAAGACAAACATCGACGCTTGTTATTGTGTGCTGGAACAAAAGTTCCTCCAAACTTACGGGTTTAACATCGGCGTCCAGTAAAGGACGTGTAAAGAAATGGAGGTAGTTCCTTGGGGCATATGATCTCCACAGACTTTACCAGCATGTGCGTACCTTGACTAACTGGAGAAGGGTCCTTTCGCAGGACTGGAGTAGAAACTCTAACCAGGTCAACAAAAATGCGAATGCAAATTAACTTTCGAAGTATGAGGCCTCAGGACACGGCTGCACGCCTACACCCTCCTTGTGTGAAACTGACAAACCACCGCTAGCTAGGAGGACCCAACCTTAGGGCTTATTATAGACACCCAAACCAAGTCCCTTCATTCTTCGCCCCTTTCAGGTCCGGGGCATCTAGAATCGTTGGGTCTTTTATCCACCGTTCTGTTCTTATAGTAACAGCGTAAGGAGGGAGTTATGGGTTCAGAGGACTGGGAGGCGCACTCACCATCAACAACTAAAAAGAGCGAGCTCTCAGGCCCGTGGGTGTGGCCAGGTACGATCCCTTTCTGAGCCCACGCCCGCACCACCAGGGCAAAAAAGCCCAGGGCAAAGCATAAAAGTAAATGCAAAGGTGACCGCAACGCTGGGGTCCCACTGCCGGTGCCGCGGGACAGACGCTGGTTCCACGCGTGCAGGGCAGACTGCCGACCCGCTGTGCTTCAGGACCCTCGGTCGCGGCACCCCGGGGTCACCAGGGGTCGCCGGGGGTCGCTACCGCGCGGAGGTGCTCGTCGCGCTCGTCCCCGCCTCCCCTTCCGCTGCGCGCGGGCTCCGCCTCCCTCCCGACTTCCTTCCACGCGGCGGCGGCGGCGGCCGGGGTTGAATGGTGCGAGCGTGGCTTACAGCCTCCTCCGGCTGTCGCGTCCCCTCGCGGAGGACCCGGCTTGCTCTGCGCTCAGCCTGCACGTGGGGCGGCCACTCGCGGGCGAGCGGGCTCGCCGCCGAGGAGGAAGGGTTCTCCCCGAGTCTCTGCTGGCGCGCACGTGGTGGGGAGGATGGAGACTTGAGAACCTGGAGCAGAGTTGGGAGAAGTGGCCAAGACTGTGCGTCATTTCCCGGCTGAGGTGTAGCAGTTTCTCCCCGAGACTGGTGACTTCTCAGCCTCAGTTTCCTCGTTTCTGAAGCTGCTCGTGGGTGGGTACAGAGCCCCCAGGGAGTTTTAAAGCAAGCCCAGGGCAGCCCGGGGTGGAGAAAGTGTCCTCTCTCGCTGCCTTCCCTTCCCCCTCCAACCCTTACAGCAGGCGGGAAGCCAGCCCAACCAGCAAGTCTCCCTGTTGAGCAGGGTTGCAAGGGCGATCGAGCCTTGGCTCTTGTTGTGTGGCTTCTCATACCTATCTGTCCACTGCTAAATATTGCCCTGAAGTCTGAAGGGGAAGTTTGGGAAATGCCCACCTTAAGATCTCACTCAGTGAATGGGGTGACCCTGCATTGCCGAAGTCCTTCCCTAGTTTATTTTTCAAAGGATTCTCTTAGCTGAAGTTCTGTGCCTCTGCTCACCCATTATAGAGACCTCTTAACCTCTCCCCCTTTGTAAAGACCATCTAGGCCAGGTCCTAAAGCCCATGCTAGAGAACCTGGCTGTAGTATTAGCATTTTCTCCCCCCCCCCCCCCATTTAGTTCACTTCTCATAGTTGATTAATCGATTTATTTGGAGAAACGTTAGTTCCCGGAGTGAACTAACCCCATTTTAAATTTTATTTATTTATTTATTTGCACTGGACTTAGAGGGCAAATTTCCCGAACTGGCCTCATTTAAAA